AAAATAATCACTGACCTATAAAATATTATAATGCTTTCGCTGGTTTATCGTGTAAAACGCATTTCTCTCGTATTTCTTTTGCTCAGACTCTCTTTTCCTTCACCTGCGCGTTAAAGAAATACTGACATCTAATTTCTATATTTTCTTATTTCTACAGTAATAATTTTCCGAATGTAATTTATGATGCGATATATCAAGAGTCGCTCTAAATAAAAACTGCAATTACTTATGCAATCAATTAATCACTCTCTGTGTGTGTATGTAATATTCTGAAAATGTTTTGCAAATACACATTTAAACGTATATTTCTTTCAAAAAGAAGAGAAATATTTAAAAATCTTGTTATAAAATTTGCAGCGCATATGTAGAATCTTCTTTTCTTGGAAGTCTGTAAAAAAATCAATTAGCCGGTAAAAATATCGCGTACGCGCATATTTAATTACGAACGAGCGGGTGCAAAAGCTTTCCCTTATTACATTCGGATTAGAACCGGTTCGAAGTGGAGTCAGAAGAGCTTCCATTATGCTTCGTTCCATTGTTTTTAAATCGCGGCTGAACTTCTCTCGGTGTATTCTTTAATGAACGTTCTCTCGGGTTTTTCTAACGCTTTACGCCGTCTATAAGAAATTCACGAAGGCTTGGCGCGTCTGCTTTCTCGCCGACAATTTACAATTAAAGTGTATTTAGTGCGGGCTTTATTTTCGCGTAAACGACGCATTTACCTACGACGCATTTATGGCTGCGATACTTTCGCTTGCTGTATTTTTCCTCGGAACTCATTACTGCATTTCCCTCATTATACACTGATTAATTCATCTCGCGCTTCTGCGCGCAGTTTAAATTATTACATAAAAATCTATTAATTGTCATATAAAAATCTAGTGAAATTCATCCACGATAGTTTTACTGTCAACATTGTTGTATGTAGAAACGATATCAATCAAATTTGTAAGCTTATTGATCAGCGAGTTTATAATATTCTTTTAAATATAAATAAAATGGTACTCGCGATACTACCGCGAATTTTAAAAGGTATGTAGAAACAATGCAATTACATGCAATCACGCAACGTAATATTATTTAGACAGCAACATTTTATACTCGAAAACAAAAGCTCAATATTTAATGTTGAAACAATTCCTCAATTTTTGGTCGTACATATCCAATTTAAACGGAATCAATGTTAACACAACATTACGTATTTTTGAGGTTTTAAAAGTTACTTCGTTGTGTATTTTACGCCGCGTGTCCCGAAAACGGCGCTACCAATTTCCCCTCGTCGTCGCTGCGAACACGATCGAGCCGGGGGGGATCTCGCGATAATCTACTTTCTCCGCGACAGTGGTCTCTCAAAGAGCCTAAGCGAAAGTAGAGCCGTACGTGACGTTCGCCTTTATCCCCGGTCGTAAGAAAAGGAAAATAACGCAGTCGCGGCGGAATTTGCGGGGGAGGATCGGCGGTGGCGGCTGCGACGGCGACGTCGGCCGCCCCCGCGTCGCCGCTATCGGGAAAATTTTAAATCACGTCCGAGATAATCGAATTCCACGCCGCGGGAAGACGCACCACGCTCGCCCGGACGTTATTCACCCTTTAATGGCGAATTCGCACCCTCGTCCCCAACGTCCTGTCCCTCTTCCCTTTCTCTTTTTCCCTTCGGCGCGCCATTTACGCATCGCTGCTACGGGCGACGGGCCCGATCTCGTAAAGAATGCAAAGGCACCCCCTGGGGAACACCCCGGAGTACGTTCTCCGGACCGTATCGCCCGTAAATTGTGCCGTCCATCCTGATTCCGTGCTGCGGCGAGAACCGCGCGATCATCTCATCTCCATCGCCGATGCGTCGCGTCCCGTGTCTCTACTACGTGCCGACGTTCTATCCGTAGGAGTTACGGGGGCGGGGGAGGGGTCCGGCGGGGATGCGAAGGGGATGCCGATATTTATTGGCTTGCCGAACGTGCCCCTCGATAGATAACGTGCCCGATAAGGCATCGGCGGATAAATTATTAATCGGCGTCTTCTGTACGCCGATGTCTCTCCGCGTCCGTATACGACAAAAATACGCAGCGAAGAAGCGTAATTGACCGCGTATTAATCGCGACCGCGCGTGACTCTTCTTCCCGCCACTTGCAAACAGCCGGGACCACACTGGTTGTTTCAACATCCATGTATTGGGATTGTCTTGCATTAGCGCGGATATTTGACATCGGTATGGATGTCAAACATCTATATCAATACACCGACGGTATTGATCTAGATGTTTGACATAGTTGTGTGCCTTAGGTATCTATGTTGCAAACGTTATTATGGCCTGTATCGTGATCCGAAAAAGCACGATTTCTATTTATTTCCCGCCGCGCTGTATTGACTTTCAACCGCTAAGTATACAGAGCGTCCCGAATTCAACGATCCAACCCTGGTACCCTCGAAATCATTTCAGAATATATATATATATACATTAGGGTGGTCCTTATTTTTCGATTTTCGAATTTTTCCACGGCACCCTCCAGAATGTTTCCAATCCACAAAAAAATAGTCCCTGCCAAATTTCAGCTTGATCGGACAACGGGAACCCGTGCCCCCGGCACGTTAAACATTTGAGTTCCCTTGTATAAAACAGGGAACTCAAATGTTTAACGTGTCGG